ACACAGTCACAGGTACACACAGTCACAGACACATAGTCACAGATACACAGTCATAGGTACACACAGTCACAGAGACACAGTCACAGGTACACAGTCACAGGTACACAGTCAGGCACACACAGTCATTTATAATTAGAGGACCACCACGGCCCAGCACGGCATCCTTTGAAGTTAGAACAGGCTGAGTTCCGCGACCTTGCCCCCTCTGAACCCTCTTCTCTTCATGGTCATATTGTCTTGCAGCAGGAATGAAGCCCTTTGGCCCTTAGGTTTATAAGCAGTGTTTACTTTGACAAGCATTCCCATCCCCAGCTCAGGTGTTCATCACACTCTGTCAACCCCAGCTGCCCTGCCACCCTTTCTGAAGTCTCCTCTGACACTTCAATAAAGATACACAGTGATTAATTCTTCCCAGGCCAGGCCAGTGTGCAGACCTTGCTAGACAGACTAACACCTGTCCTGCAATGGCTTCCAGTTCTTTCTAACTGAAGGGGCAGGAGGTCTTTGGAAATGGGTACTAGGACCCCATCCCCGGGCTCAGTCTGCTACTCAAATATCAGACAGAAGAGTTAGACACCTAGAACTGTGCAGGCTGGTCAGGATACCACTATGCATATGGGTGTGAGCTGGGAGTTGGGTCCCTGTTGGGAGAATTAACTTAGCTTTCTCTATCCTTGGGTTCTGTTTCTGCTGAGACCTGGTCTTATTCATTAACTCACAACTTTATTCTTAGAACTGTGCCAAAGTCATGGAAGGCTACTGTTGACTTTGGACTATACAGAATAGATTGCCACCAAATGGAGGGACATGGGGGGATATCTGGGGACTCTCAGACACCCTGCGGGGTAGGTACAAAGCCTCCCTTGAGGTCGAGAGGAGCTTTTAAGAAGATGGAAGGGGCCACTCTGGTTATGAGAGTCCTGGATCTCAATGATCAAGCCAGTGCATGTCCCATGAGCAGGGCCCAAATGAGAGTAGATGCTCTTTTCTTTGACTTGCATAATTCCTTCGGCTGGGGCCAGAGGGTAAGGCTAGGCACACTCTAGGGGAATGTTGGGCTGAATGTTGTGTCTACACAGCCCACAAAGCCCACATGTGGAGGCTCTGCCTATGACTCTCCCAGCCAGTCTGTCCCCCAAGCTTCTCTTTAAAGGGACACGAATGTGCCCCATGACTACTGACAGGGATGCTACCTGAAGTCTGAGAATTCTGCACCCCCAAGTATTACAGAGTCTGACGCTAAGGGTCAGTGGAGGTGGGGGCTGTGTGTGAGTGTGTGAGTATGTTGTTGTTATTGTTGTTGTTGTTGTTGATGATGATGATGTCGGTAGAAGTCTGTCTGAAGTCAACATCAGAGTCTCCTGCAATTACTTGCCACCTTATCTTTTGAGAGAGGGTTTCTCAATGAACCTGTAGCTCATCAATTTGGCCAAATTGACTTCTCAGTGAACCCCAGAGATTCTCCTGTATCTACCTCCCCCGTGCTGACATTACGTGGTTGACTTTTCATTTGGATATCAGGAACTGAACTCAGGCCTACACCCTTACCCAGCAAGCACTTTACCTAGTGAGCAATTTCCCCAGTCCATGGTTCTGTCTGTATGGCTTAGGCTAATGGAATATTCTGCCAAATGGGTTTACTGTCACGGCGATCCCAGGTGGCATGTCCACACTGATGCCTGCATGCGCCATGGCCTTTTGTCATCTAAGAAGACATTTGCATTCACTGATGCGGGACTGGATGAGAGCGAATTACAAAGGCTGAACACCCCTGGGGATCGGTGAAAACGATGTTGCTAGGTCTGCAGAACTCACTAATTCAGGGTTCTTAAGATGAAGGGACCCTAGGTTTAGTGAGGATCATGAACCCAATGACAGGTGTCCTTGTAAGAAGAAGGCTGAGGGCGGTCCTACCTATGGTGACACAGGAGATAAAGCCCTGTGAAAATGGAGCCAGCTACTGGAAAGGTGAGGCCACAGGCCAAAGAAACTAGGATCACGGGGACGGAGGAGCAGGGAGAAGCCTCTCCCTGAACCTTTGGAGAACACGAGGCTCGGGGGCTTCCTGGGAGAACCATGAGGGGACCGGAAGACCTGGGTTTATGATGGCGTTGTATGGGAAACCAATATGAGCTTCCTGCATCCCATAGGCGTACTGGATGATGATACACCCTTAATTAGACCACCCCACATGACTGCTCCTGCACTGTCCCCCACATTCCTCCTTCCTGAGGAGTTTCCTCCACATGCCCAGTAGTCAGCCAGAAAGCCATACCCACCTCCTACCAAGACTCAGGAGAGTGGCCTCACAGTCCTCTTGCAAGCATGAGGACTAGTCGCCATGGCCTCTCTTTCACTCGGCATTCTGCACACACCACTGTCACACATCTGTGCATGTAACAACCAACATCATTGGCTACTTCGGATGCTGCGAAGGAAGACCGCACGGAGAAGCTACTGCCACCTCACACGGAGCATCTGGGTCTATAGGCCAGAGCATATGTATCTAAGCTTTACCATCAAAATCCTCCACGGGGAAGCGAACAGGTGACCGATGACATTCCCAGTGTGGTCAAAGATGGACAAGGAGCCAGGAGGCCTGTTATCAAGAGCAGGGGTTCTCTCTGCCCCTCCCAGCGGCACAACACAGAGTCTAGGGCCATGGCTAGGCTGGTGTAAGCACCCAACACAGCTAGATTCACCATCCCAAAGTTGTTTGGGAAGAGAGCTGGAGACCTCCATTCTGGAGAACAACGGGCAGAGTTGGGTTGGTTCCACTTGTGCCACCTGTGGCTGTTGGCAACCTCTTGCCCGTAGACAGCCATAGACAGCTCATTCGCGGTGTCCCATCAGGGATGATAGTTATCGGAGCTTCAGGCCACATCGAGAAAAACCCTAGAACCAAACTCTCTGAGAACATGGGAGGATGGGGTCATGCTAATCAGGAATGAAGAGCCAGACGGCAGGGGCCATGGCTCCAACATGGAGTCCTTTCATCGTGGGACTGCTCTGCCTACAGCTCCTCACCTTCCAGCGCTCTGAGATCTGGGTTCCCAACAATGGGATGCAAGTTGAAGAACCACTCAAGGAATGGGAGGAGCCCATGCCCTGAGAGTCTAGAAAGCACAGAGGCCATCAATACTGTCGTATGAAGGCCCACTGAGAAAGCATAGTCACACAGTATTCAGCCTTCCCCCTTGAAATTCTTCCACAAAGGGAGAATTTTGCCATCTGCAGCTGGCCATCCAACAGTAAGTGTGAATAACTATGAAGAGTTGGTTCTGAGTAGCAAAGTTCCTCTCTCCGTGAAGAAAAGACTTTGGGGACAGGGGAAGGGGGAAGAGGGGTGGAGCAAGTGCCATTTGCCTGTAGGGGGTGCTGGTGGAGAAGTAAATGCCCCCACCAGGGGTCCAAAGGACAAAGCTCAGGGTCAGCTCTCAACCCAACCAGTCCACAATCAGTTACAAACTCAGATGCTGCTGGCCAGATGGCCCCCACAACCTCTCACAGGAGGCCCCATTTCTCCCAGTCAAAGCCTGTGCAAGCAAGAGCAAGGCCGGAGTCACCGCTGTCAGGTGAAAGGGACATGGTGACCCAGAAAATCTCCCTGACTTGTCCTAGCTGCCCAGGGACGGAAGCTTGAACGATCTCTTTTCCAGAAAATAGCTTCTTTGAGTTCGGACTGCATTTCTCTCTGGGCCTGGTCCTCATTGCTGCCCAGGTAAGCATTGCACATGGAACCATCGTACCTGCCCATGGCTCTGACACCAACCACAGCCTCTGCTGCCCCCTCCCCAGAGCCTTACTATGATGGCGTCTTGTCTACAGATGGGGGAAGCGCGAAGGACTCCTAGTGAACACATCCCCAGATCGCTCCCAGATCCCAGAGGGAATCTATACCTGCACAGAGCCTGCTGTTGCAGGCCTGGTGTTTGTACTGCCCAGAACTGGTATCTTGGTGTCGTACCCCTTGCCATTTCTATAGATCAAGTCTGATTGTCTCACAGATCAAAACCTCATCATGGCCCTTCATACAAGTGGCCCCTCTGGATCTGGCCTGGCACTGGCATAAATGCCATGGTGTGGTGCGTTTGTTCTCTATATCCGGGACTCGCTGCCAGGCAAGTGTTACCTGCCGCTTCTGATGAAGCCTTCCCAAGGGTCCCTCGTGGCTCCAATCCCTCAGGTCGGTGGGGGAGACAGCTTCTTCTTGGCAACCAGGGTGGCTTGCACAGTCGTTTGGTTCTCTGCCAGAAACTTCCTTCATATCTGTGGGGCAGAGCAATGCATACGTAGCCATCAGGTAGAAGAGTATGATCCAGGAAAGCCAGAGAGGCCCTGAGGGTGGCTAAGAATCTTGGGGCTGGACTTGAAGTGGTTGATCAACTCTGAGCACCTCCTCACCCCCCCCACCCCCACTCATCTCTTCTCAACCCCTCTCCCAACTCACCTTCTAACCCCAGGATGTGAGGACAGAAAGCACAAGCCACGAGGCTGTGTGAGATGAGGCTGATGTTTTGTTTTGAAACAAGCTCAAATGGAGACCAACTTGGCCTTGAACTTTCTACATCATAGCTGAGGATGATCTCGCACTTCTGATCCTCCTGCCTCAGCCTTCTGAGTCCTGGGATCACAGGTGAGCATTAGCATGCTTAGTGTGTGCAATGCCGAGGCCAGAGCCCAGGACTTCGTGCGCGTGAGGAAGGCACTCTACCCAGGGAGGCACATCCCCAGCCTGAGATTATGTTCACATGCCATGCTGCCTAGGAACAGTTTAGGGAAATGGCTCTTCAGGTAGATATGGATGTTAGATTCTGGTCCTTTGCTACTTGCTAACCGCCTGGCTGCAGAGAACCTTGTACAAAGATGAAAATGTTTTGCAATCAGCATAGACCTGTATGTTAGCTGCTATCTTCCTGGGGCTACTGAGCATGTCAACGACAGTTATGTTAAGAGTCACACATGGTCACTAATGCCACAATAGGTGGTGGTGACAGCCTGCATCTTGGGGTCTACACAGATTCCCCATCAGTGAGCCCCAGCCAGAACATCTGATCTAATGGTCCCCAAAACAAAATGTCACTCACAATCCAGAGGAAAGACATTACAAGGCTGGAGAAAGAGAAAAGGCTGGGAGTTCACTTGCACTGATTGTCATGGAGACTTCCCACCCCTCTCAGTGCTGGTGCATGTCCAGTGAGCAATCTGCTAATGTCCTTATAGCCCTTTCTTTGAATGCTGGTTCACCGTGTTCTACTGACGAGCAGGTACAGCCCTAAATGGACCCACCATCTGGTCTAGTGCTCATAGTTTGCAGGTAAGCAAACTGAGATGAAGGCTTACAACCACATGCCTTAAGCCCCTTTGAAAGCTCTTTGCCCTGTTTGCAGACACTTGTGGGAGCCCCCTCCCTGTGCAGGCGTCAGTTGCCAAGCACTCGACTCCCATGGAGCTCCACAGACCTTTTGGAGAGGAAGCAACCTGCATAGCCACTCTTCTGCCTCGACTGCTTAAGCTTCTGCAAAGACCCAGGCACCTGAGCGAGTCACAGGGCTGCCTGCAGGATTTCAATAAGGGCTGGAGAGCACAGCATCCTCCCAGATGTGCCTTTTTCTGGCACCAACAATAAGAAGGTGGCTTTCTGTTTATCTTTCCAGGTGTCTACATTTGAGAAAAAATAAAAACTTGCTTTCCCTGCCTGGATCAGGAGTTGTGGCTCCTAAGGGTTGGGGTGGGGGTACCTGGAACAGGAACTGCCCACCCCTGGCTCCTTCCCTGAAGCCTCTGTACCATTTGTCCAGACCACAAGTTCCTTAAAGAGCCATCAGGGAAGGGGGGACGGGCTGCTACCTCATTCATCATAAACCACCCCCACCCCACCCCACTGGAGCTCCTGCAGCGTGGTTTCAAAGCACATAGACAAAAGAAGGAAGGAAAGTGGGACCTGTGGGAAATGTCTGCCAGTAAGTGTGCAGGGTCACCTTTGCCCCCAAGACCATGGTAACCGCTGCGGGCTTGCAGGCGTGAAGGACGGCACATGACCTGAACCTTGGGGACGTCATTCCATCAAAGTTGCTATGGGGTCTGTCAGGAGAGTTCCTGGTCCCTGAGGCCTGGATGTTGTTATTCTTAAGGAGTGCCCACATGGACTTTGGGGCTGCTGTGGGCTGGGGTATTCCTATCTATCTCTCTGTGATCCTCTCAGGGGTCTTTGTCTGCAGTCCTTCCCCCCAAGCAGCTGCATTCAGAAAATGAGCCTGGTGGGGCAGTTCTTCAGGGACGCCCAAGGCATGTCAGGCTCTATGAGGCAACATCCAACTATTCTCCCTGAGACTACACATTTCTGTCCCCTCCACCGTGGTGTGGGAACATGCATGTCCTTGGGTGAGCGGTGACTCACTTGCTTTTGGATGCCTGGGAAATCTCCCATCTCACCTCCATTCCCTTGCAGCGGGGACCGGGTCATGTTGGATGAGGCAGTCCAGTTACACACTCACCTCTAGTACAATCTATATGGTACAATTCCGTCTCTAGAGGCCCTGGGGGCCCAGGTTGAGGCCCCCGTGATATTACAACCCAGCTCCACTCCCTTCTCCCTGCCCTCCCTGCCTCCCACAGCCTTCCTGCCCTAAGAGCTCACCCTCCCCAGTTGCTTACCCTCAAACCCTCACCCCAAGCTCCACTTTCTAAGAAACACTCAGGGTTGGATGAGTGGCCTCCTACTCAACATGCTTGCTTTGGTCTGAAGGACTTCAAGCACGCACGTGACCGATACTAAGTACATGTCAACTTCGTACGTGACACTAGACCTGTCCCTTCCCGTTTCTGTTTCCTCACCGCTGGGTTTAAGATCGCTTCAATTTTCCAAGGTCATGTCTAGTTTGCCACACTGAGCTGATCCATCTTCTCATTTATACTTTTAAAAGGAAGCCCCTTGAGATTCGGATTTTGAGCTGGGTTCTCAGGCTCCAAGCAAGCTTCTCTATCCTTCGTGTTCTCTTTATGTATTCCATAATACGTTTATTCCCAGTCTTATGGAAACCAGTCATTGTAAGCATTTCCTGCCCAGGTCAGTCCAGCAGGAACTCCTGAAGACTGCTAGGTTAAGGTATTGAGCTAAGGGGAAAGAGGAGGATTGAGGTTATTGTCGTGAATCTTGACAGTGGTTGAAGTGTATTAACCCCTTGCTGCTCTAAACATCGCTGTGAGCTTAGGTATCTAAGGACAACTGAGACCAGCCTCACATGAGTTCACCCAGTCAAAGACCGTGCTCCAGCCCATCGTTAGTGCCACCCAGCTCCTCTCACAGCCCCAAGGACATGGCGAAGCAAAGAGCAGAAGCTGAGAGAGACCAAACTCAAAGCTCTGGTCCTGTGGGTGACCGATCACAAGGTCTTAGACACACATGCAGCAGAGGTCATATGAGCTCAGGACCACCAGTGATCAGCCTGCCTCTATTCTTATACCTCACAGATTTCTCTAACTGAATAAATCGCATAATGACAGAAGAACAGCCCCACAGCCCTAAACAGGAACCATAAATACATAAGGAAGACCCTCACAATGAATAGAATTCTGTCCTGGGGCCCTAGGTGAGCCTCACTCCTTCAGGGGAGTGTGTGCCTAGTAAGACTGCCCTTCTCCTGCAGGGCTTGACTTGGGGCTATCTAAGCTGCATTTGCCGGAAGCTTCCTCTGCCAAGCCTCTCAGCACTTCAAGCTTGTACACAGCCATGAATTAATCAATAAAACCCAATTCCATGGTTCAGGGCTTGTTGTGGGCCTGGCACAGATGGAGTCTGAGAACTTCGTGAGTCTCTGGGCCTCAAGTTAACACAGGAGTAATTAGGCATGCAAGCATGAAGTTTCTACATGTTTTCATGGCTTCTCTCAAGATGGACCCCTGTGTTTTAGACATGTGGGGTAGCTAACATGTGTAGCTTCATTAATGAAACAACAATTTCATTGTAGTGTTGGAGGAGAGAGAGAGAGAGAGAGAGAGAGAGAGAGAGAGAACAGAATGGAAAGTCCTGAGATGAACTTCAAGTATAAACAGGGAGCTAAAATCAGCAAAAAGATGCAGGACCCTCAACTGATATATGGGTCCGAGGGGTTTCTATGTAAATTCCACATAATGTCTTAGAGTTTTCCAATCAAATAAAATCTCTATCTGTGAAATATGTGTGAACAATATATAAGCAAATATGTAGTTTCAAAAATATAAAGTCATACCCAGTTGCTAAAACAAGTGAAAAATCACATTTTGATCCATGCTCCCAGGTTGGCTAGGTCACAAACCAAATCCTTTCATAGATAGGAGTGCATATATTTATATATATTAAAAAAAATATCAGAGGGAATCGTCGTATGCTCCTGACATTAGGAGACCGAGAGTGAGGGAAGACTTTTTAACAAGTTGCTGAAGAAAAGGCAGCTTTGTGGATCTATGAAAATGTGTAACTTCTAACACACCATCCCAGTTCTCAGGAGCTCAGGCAGGAGGATCAAAGGTTTGAGACCGGCCTGGTCACGTTACCAAAATCACAGCTTAAAAAATAATAAGAACAAAAACAAACTCCTTCTGTTTGTCTTCTCGAAACAGGGTTTCTCTGTGCAACACCACGGCTGTCCTGGAGCTCTCTCTGTGGATCAGACTGTCCTCAAACTCACAAGAGATCCACCTGCCTTCCAAGTGCTAGGATTAAAGGTGTGCACTGCCATGCCAGCAAAAACAACTTCTTCCTGGTAAGGTACAGCAAATTAAATGAGAACTCCTGACCTAACATTCCAATTTCATTACAGCCCACCTTATACTGAAAATACAATTCAGTTGTTCTTTTTTTAATATTTATTTTGTATTTTATTGCTCTGGTGTTTCGCCTGCATGTCTGTCTGCATGAGGGTGTCAGATCCCCTGTAACCGGAGTTACAGACAGCTGTGAGCCGCCACGTGGGTGCCGGGAACTGAACCTGGGTCCTCTGGAAGAGTGTCAGTTCTCATAACCACTGATCCATCTCTCCAGCCCCAATTAAGTTTTTCTTCAAAATTAAATATACTTAAATGTATTGATAGTCTGATTGAAGCCTCAAAGCAGCTAACATTCACAAGAAAGAAAACCTGGGCAGGTGAGATTGTTTTCTTCTTGGTGGTTTTGCCAGACCAGGTGAATTCTATATTCCCTTGCTCAGGTAGGGCAGGACCTTAGTAGAAGTCAAGGGCGGTTTCTGCTGCTGTAGAGACCTAAGGCCACAGCAGGCCATGCAGCCACCATAGGACGACTGAGAAGTGAGTGCTCCCAGAGGGAACCGGGAGAAATCCCTCATCAGTTTCATAAAGAGAAGACACCTTCCTTAACTCCTAGGGACTGAGACCAGGAAAACCTTCAGTCCAGTTCTTGACTTATCTCAGAATCTGACAGGCACTTAGCAGGAGCAAATCAAGTACTCTCCCTCCTCCCCAAGAACAGTGCTTGCAACTCAAGTCTCAAAGTTCCAATACCGTGAACACAAGGAATTCAGATGCTGTGAGAGCCAATGTGTAAAACAGAGGCACACATGGAGGCTTCACATGTGGGGATCATCAAGAGCAAACTCTGAAAGTGTGGTTTAAAAAGGAAAGGATCGAGGGCCCAGGATGGGTGGCTAAGTCGGTGAGGCACTTGCCAGGCTAAGCACAGGCACTCAGTTCAGATCCACAGCACCATGCAAAACCGTAGGTGGTGGGAACTGGGGTTGCAGACAGCTGTGAGCTGCCATGTGGATGCTAGGAATTGAACCAGTGCTCTTAACTGCTGAGCCATCACTCCAGTCTGAAATGCAGCTATTTCAAACTGATAACAGGGGTAGGCTTCTTCTCTCCTGGAATTCTGGACAGTGTGCTTTGGGAAGAAGAAAATACCAGAAGAATGGTCCAAAATGAATCAAGGGATGAAAAGGTAGTTTGGGGCAATTCTGTAGGCCAAGATAAATAAATGGGATTTAAAAATTAAATGCTAGACAGAAGAATGCATACATGACTTTTAACATGTAAGAATCTATATAATACATATACTCTCACGGGCTCCTATAAATTACGTTCGTCATTTAAAAGATTAAAAACAACCAACATTAATAAGCATTTTTAAAAAAGCATAATGAAGGCCAGATTCACTCACAGTATGTAACACCTCATAGCAAATGTCAGAAAAATGTTAGGTAAGTAGGTAGATTTGTAGTTAGAATGAAAGCAAGGAAGGAAGAAAGGAAGATGATACATAGATGAGATAGATGATTGATAGATAAATGGATGAATGGATAAATAGATTAGATAAATGCCTGACCTGGATGAATGGATGGATGGACGGATGATGATTGATATGATATATACGTGGGTGGATAAGTAGATAGATGGGTGGATGAACATATGAACTTCTGTTCCAGTGTCATATCTGCCTGCTTGTTATCATACTCCCCACCAACATAGTCATTGACCCTACCTCTCTGGAGTCATCACCCCCAAATTAAGCACTTTCTTTTATAAGCTGCCTTAGTCATGATGTTTATCAAATAATTAAAAAGTAACTAAGACAAGGTCCTTTCTCAGGACTTTCTTGTTCCTCTTTGCCCCAACTCTACATGTTCATCTTTAAGGTGCTTATATCTGCTGATAGAGATGCCCTCTTTTGACTCCCACAAGGTCAACTCTTAAGATCTTCAAAATACAAGTGTTTGTGGGGGTAAGCATATAGCAGCTGAGAAACATAGATGAAAATCCAATGCTGGAGAAAGATGGGAACTGAGACATTCACAATGCATAGCTCTCACCCTACCAAAATGTCTACTACTCCTCTCTGGCCTCCTATGGCCACTCAAGAAGGCAAGTCCCATGTCCTCAGAACTTCTGATAACTTGAGAGGAATGGAAGATTCCTCCGTGTGAAATCTGATTTTTATGATGTTGCTGTAATTTTTATGGAGACCTCTTGCTCGATGGACTTGTCCTAAGAGCTGCTGCTGAGCTCTTAAGGCCTCCTAAAAGATGTCCTCCATCTTGTCTAGAAGACAGTGCCTCTGAATGTTCAGAGAATTATCCCCAAGTCTTGATATTGTTAAGAGATTCTCTTTGCTTCCCTGGATTTTTAATTTTTTTCTCAAAAGACACATTTGTTTGCAAATATTAAAAATGTGTTAAAAGCAATAATTAGCACATTCTTTCTCAGGACTAAAATTAGATAGACATATTTTCAGCCTGATTATCTCAGATATTTACTATGTTCCTGCCTTAGAAAGACAGCAGTGAATAATTAAATGATCAGTGGGATCATGCTGGGTAGGTTATGGGTAATGGAGGCAGATCTGGAGCCATAGAACTCCAGACCAATGGAATAGAAACCTCCCTCTGGGGGTGAGCTGTCATTTGAATGCCACATTCAGTTCCTGGGTTCCTGATATCAGGCCAACATGGAGGGGGAAGAGGAAGCCACATATCTTACCTCTTGGAATGAAGCTTCAGTTTCTTCTTCTTGCTGATCTCATGAGATATCTTCACCCTCCTATGGCACAGTCCTTTCTTCCACTGTGGACTGGATACCTGGTCCTGGGCCCTTGTCCCTGAGACTGTTGGGTAAGGAAGCTGAAAATACCAAGCATGTTGTCATTGTGCCATTCAAAGCCCTCGTTTTGGGGACACCATGATGGGTTCTCTCTCTAGAGACAAAATGCCTATCTATGGAAATTAAGGCATCAAAATGTTGTAGTACCAAATGGCCTGAACCTATGAGACATTTTTACCACACAACTAGTCGTATGCCACAATGAAAACTTCCAGAACTGTGGCTAGACTGGACCTCCAGACCTTTGATGTGAGTGGAAAGTTACCTAGCGCCATAGTCCACATCACCAACCTCAGGAATCCGCACAATTTGGAGAGAGGAGATTTAAACCAGACCTTGAATCCCCACCTCCGGCCCCTGGAGATTGCTTGCAAGTCTTGGGTCCCATCCTTGTCTTTGTTCCATACAGCCCATTTAGGACTGAGGCCTCCATGCCTGTCAGCTCCCAACCCAAGCTGTCTCCTAACAGGATAAATGCTGTCAGACAGGGCCGTAAACTCACAACTTAATTCCCTGGTAAGATTGTCCTTGAACTTTTATCACTTTCTCCTTCTTATCATTGTTCCTAAAAACCTGAGAGTTAGGTCTGAGTGTGGTTACTGTGATTATAGTGGAGCGATTTCTCCAGCGCACCCAAGATAATGAGCTTCTCCGCTTATTTCATTCCCTTTTGGTTCTGCTTTGGTTTTCTGTCTGGAGTGTTCTGTCAACATGAGTTTTCAGTTCCTGGAGAGATGGTCCAGTAGTTAGGAGCCCTTGCTGCTCCTGTAAACAACCCAGATTTGAGTCCCAGTGCCAAACATGGAGGAGCTCACAACCGCTGGCAACTCTAGCTCCAGAGGAGCTGATGACTGGGAATCACCTACCCCACATACATAACTGAAAATAAAATTTCTTTTTAAAATATAGTTTTGATTCTTAGATGACCTAGAGAGTTGTGTGCAGGTGGTGCGATTTATTTTTTCATTTTTGCCTGTTTCCAGGAATAGAAAAGATGAAATTTTATGTCTAATTGCAAGTATCTTATCTGGATGCTCTCTCTCTCTCTCTCTCTCTCTCTCTCTCTCTCTCTCTGTGTGTGTGTGTGTGTGTATGTGTGCGTGTGTGTGTGTGTGTGTGTGTGTGTGTGTGTGTGTTGCTTCCCAGTGCTGGGATTGGAGATGCCTGCCATCATGCCTGGCTTTTTAAATGTAGGTCCTCGGGTCCTCAAACTTGTAAAGCAAGCACTTTACAAGATTCAGCCATGACCCAGACCCTAGCACAGCAGCTCTTTGCCATTCTATTTTTGTAAATTTGTTTAGTTTTGTTCCTATCTAGGACCCTTACTTCTTCTTGCTCCACATATGGCAACCCTAGTCTCCTTTGGGGACAGAAAATGTCACAATGGTGGTAATATCCACAGGGATAGATCCATTAGCTCTCTCTCTCCCTCCCTACTTACCCCTTCCCTCCCTCCCCCTCTCCATGTCTCACTCCCATGCTGCCCAAGTCCCCAGCCCTCCCCGTGTTACCTCAGGTGCCTGCATGGTCCCTCCTCCTCCTTGGTTTGTCTTGGTCCTTCCTCCCCTGCTCTTGGGAGGCAGCACTTTGCTGCTCTTTCCCTGGAGGCTTCTATCAGATGAGTGTGAAGCCAAGTCCCTGGGAGCTGCCCTCTGCTGCTCTGCAGGCCGGGGCAGGCTGCTATTCAAGCAACACCAGGTGAGTTGGGGCTCCGCCTTAAGTGAGGGGAAGGAGCATGGGGCTTCACAGCTTTTGGGGGTCCCTAAGTGGTGTGACAAGGCCAGGTTCTGCTGGCCCAGAGATAAACCCTGGGGCCTTGTGAAAGATGTGAAGAAACAATGCGCTTGGGAGGGAAAGCAGGCAGGCAGCCTTTCCTTGGTCTCTGAAGAAGGACTTTCTAGGGCGTTCTTAGGTGACCCCAGTTTCTGGGACGATGTCCAAGGGTTCAAGAGATTGTCGTATATTCTCGATTTTGCTAGTGGGCTGTCTATGCAAAGGCAATAGATGGCATGGGTCTCATTCACTACATCCTTGGTCACATGAGTATCACATGTGTGAGCAGGCAGGATAGAGGCTGTCTCCTGGGTGGTGCCGGTGTTGGGGTCAGAAGAGAGTTCAGCTGTGGGGATGTTGCTATTGGTCCTGTCTCTTTTCTCTCTTCCTGTCTGTGTGTCTTTTCTTCCATCCGTTGACCTGGAACAGCTAGGGTCCTCTGGGCTACCACCTGCCTCAGCTGGGCCTGACGATGCTCTAGGTGGCCCATTCACTCCCAATTCTGACTCAACAAGAAGGGCCTGTTCTTCAGGCTGTGCAGTTGTACACAGAGGGTCTGGACCTTTCCCAGGCCCGGGAGCAACCTGTGGTGAGGGCTTCTCTCCCTGGGGTAACCTGAGCAGGTACTTGGGAGCAAAGGAGCCACTTGACACAGCAGCAGGGACACCAGGATCCTGGAGCTGAGCAGGCAGCAGGGAGAGCCCAGGAGTCCTAGGTACAGAAGTCAATGTGGGATCTTTGCCCCCTAACCCTGGCCGCCTCAGGGCAACAGCAACAACAGCTGAGGAGGCATTAGAAGACTCCAGGGCCATTGTCACATGCTGGATACCCTCATTTGAGCTATTCAGGACCTCCTCAGAGGTTTTGTCCTGTTTCTGGGGTGGTTGGGAGTCAGCCCGCAAGGAACAACTTGAGGGCTCAGCTTCCAGAGGCCCTGGTTGCTCCTTGTGATCCAGCCCCTCCACCTTCAGTCTCTTTCTCTCTGAGGGTAACTTATCTTCTACAAGTTGGAGACCCACAGACCCCCCACTGGGCTGTCTGAGGATAGTTTGGTCCGGAGGGCAGGTTTCTTTTGTAACTTCCCCACTGCGATCTGGCAAAGCCACCCCAGGGGCTTTTAAGTCTCTTCCTTGGAGGCACACAGGCTCTGGAGGCAACTGGCTTCCCAGGTCTGATTTCCCATGGGGAGAGAGCAGAGGGCCCTTACTGTTCAGACAAAGGGCCTCTGTGCTGCCAAGGGTGGGAGATGACTTGGCTCTGGCCACTGCCTTCAGTTGCTTAGGAAACTCAGTCTCTAATGAGCCTTCCAGGGACAGCCGACCTCCCCAAGGTCCTGGCTTTGCCCCTACTGTAGTGTCCCCAAGGACAGGGACTCTATTGTCCTGAGACAGGCCTGCACCCTCAGCCCCTGCTACCTCTTCCTGGGAGGGCAGGTCCAGTTCCGACCCCTGGCCCTGCTTCATGTCCCTGTGTTTCTGTCCTCCCTGGTGGCTGGTCTTCATTTTCTGGTATATTCTCTTGAACGTCTCATTCCCGTACACCTGCCATTTCTCCTGAGAGAACATCCTTCGTTTCTTCTGGCCATACTTCCTACTGGCCCTGCCCCGGCACGCCATCCCCTCCTTCACCACAGATCTCTTTCCAGCTGGGTCTTCGGCAACAGCTGAGGGGTCTCCAGTAGGGGTACAGGGCAGATCCTCCACAGCAGCCTGCCTCACCAGGGCCCGAGGGTGACCGCTGGGGATGCCTGCCAAGGTCAGTCCTGGGCGGTCCCCTAGCCGGGCTGGGGTGAGCCTGGGGCTCAGGGACTTCTGCATCATAGGGAAGGCATCCTGTGTGTCCCGTGACTCTGGCCACAACTTAGAACCCTCAATGAAAGGCAGTGAGTTGCTTCTGGTGACAGGGACACACTCCACAGTGGTGGAGAGCTGGGTGGGAACCGAGTGGAAGAAGAGGGGTCTGGCCTTCTCCAGGGGTGTGAAGGTAGAGCGAGCTGGGCTGAGGGCAGCCCTCCTGCGGTTTGGCTCCAGTGCCCGGATGTCAAAGTGGAAGGAATCCTTGTAGGTATAGGGCATGGGCAGATCAATGCTACCCTGCTTGGATAGCACAGTCTTGCGGGGCCGCACGTGGTCCAGCTGCGGGTCGTCTACCACTGCCTGGTTGTGGGAGATGAGCTGGGCAATGCGTTCCTCCAGCCTCTTCTTCTCCAGCTCCAGGCTGGATCCTGGTGTTCCCTGCTCCGCCCTGTTGCCTGCGGACCCACAGCCAGGCCCTCCTTCCCCCTCAGACTCTGCACTGTGCTCCGACAGACTGTGCAAGGGGCTGGAGGCAACGGGAGGCTGCTCCACACTGTCTGAGCGTGACAGGTAGCCCGAGTCTGTGCTCTCACACTTCCTCAGCTGGCCCTCCATGGCCTTGGAGTCCCAGGGCTTCTCTGCGCACGTCTCCTGCTGTCTCTGCAGGGAGGATGGCTTTGATTCTGGCAACTTCCGCCTAGGCTGCGGGCTGACTAGTGGAAACTCGGGCGATACCATCTGGGTCTGGTCCACAGGAGCCTCTTTGTGGGCAAGGGTGGCCCCTAGAGAGGGATTCGCTTCTACCACCATTTCCCTGTTCCTAGTAGCGAGGGTGGGGTGGGCACCAGGTGAAAGAGCGTTCTCTGGTGCTCCTTCGTCTCCCCTGCTATCCAGTGAGGCAGTCTCTCCAGACCTGTCTCCATCTCCCAGAAGGCTGCTCCCACTCCCCTCAGACTCTAAAGACAGTCGAGAGTTGTTGAGATGTGTCTGTGTTCGTCTGTGTTTATAAAGGTTGCTCTGGGTCTTAAAGGCGATGCCACAGGTGGTGCACGGGAAAGGTCTCTCACCCGTGTGGGACCGGATGTGTTTCTCCAGCACACTGGGCTTCAAGCAGTCCCGGCCACAGTGCGGGCACAGGTACTTGCCAGCGTTCTTCAGTCTGCCTGTGCTGACCAGTGTGGACCCCACACCTGGGGAAAGTACAGGCAGTGTGCCCACGATGTTCACGGTCAGGGCTGGGGTGGCTGGCTTGCCCATCTGGGTGGGACTGGGCCCTTCTGGCTGCAGCAAGGGGCTGAGGATGAAGGGCACACTGGCCCCCTCCAGGCTGCCTGTCACCAGGGGCGCACGTGGTTGGAGGCCCCCGGGAGGTACTGTGTGGTACAGTGGGACAGGCAAGGCCTTTAGGAACACAGTTGGGGGCAGTCCCTGCTCTGGCGGCAGGATGACCGGAGCCAGCGTCAGGCGAGGTGAGGCCTGCCCACCTGGGCCCCCCGGAACTCGAGGAGCAGGAGCTGACTGGTCGCTGGCAGGTAGGGTGGGTTGGGTAGGTTCTGAAGCCTCCATTCCTCATCACCTCTGTGGGCCAGGATTGGTGTCAACCTGTGAACGAGAACCATGCTTGACCATGGGTGTCTTTCTTCTTCCTCCCAGAAGGTGTTACAGTACCCCTAGAACCCCCAACAACAAGCCTGCAGCACTCTTGTCCCCAAGTTAAGAAAAGTGTTGCCAAAAAGTAATCCTAGTTATCCAAAAGATTGAGGCAGGAGGATTACAAGTTCTAGCTCTGTTTGGATGAGAGTGAGACCCTGTCTCTAAATAAAACATACAAAAAGGGTTGGGTATGTAGTAGCTCAGTGATAGAGCACTTGCCTGGCATGTAACAAGAGTCTCAGTTGAATCCCCAGTCTCTCTTCTCTCTCTCTGTCTCTCTCTGTCTCTGTCTCTCTCTCTTTCTCTCTCTCTCTCTCTCTCACACACACACATACACACCCTACACATATACATACATACACACACATATTCTACACACATACACACACAGAAGTCACACCCACCCACCATAATCCACAGTGGTTACTCTAGCAGGTTCAAATCCCTTCCTTGTCTAGGAGGACATTTCTAGATCCGTGAAATGTCCAGATCCAGATCCTTCCCCCCACTGCGGTTCTGAGCCATACATCAAGACGACGACAGTAGGAACCAGAACTGACTTTGGTGGGGGACTTCCTAAATTAGGAAGCTAAAATGCAGGACTGCAAGATAAACTTGAGTATCAGAAAAATTGCGTATCATTCTTTCAACCCACAGAAGTATGGCCCAAAGAGTACATGATGAATTCTCAAGGTATAAGCTTCTCCCCAAAGACAATGGGTCTGTGTATGCTAAAATATTATGATTGTGTCACGTTCTCTCATGAAGCTATAAGGAGCTCTCATCCAACCTCAGGATGAAGTTTAGGTCTCTACTCAAAGCCCTGTTACAAACAGTTGAGATTAAGTCAGTTGTCACTAGGCCAGGAGGAGATAAACTAACACCACGTCACATTCTATTCTTCAAGCCACGAAGGGCAAGCCAGAGACTGGAGGGAAATGTTAGGTGGGCCGGCGACAGTCACCCCTTGGCTGAGTTTCTATGAGCATTGTACCACCCTCCTGAGAGTTCCTCTGGGCACCTACGACCTTCAGTCTTCTGAACATTATCTATGCCCCAGGTGGTTAGAGTGCTGGGGTGACAGGGCCAACCTGAGCCAGCACTGGCTTCAGAAAACTGTTGTGAGAGCTTCCAGGAAGCTTGCAAGCTAGCTTTTCTTAATCAAATGGTGCCAGATAGTGTGCTATACGCCTGTGAGCCCGGCATCTGGGGGACCGAAGTGGGAGGATCAGGAATTCTGGGTCAACCTGAGCTAAATAACAAAGCCCTCATTTTAAAAATGGGGGGGAAAGAAATTATATAAATATGCTATGAAATAAATCATATTGAAAGGAAAGATACTAAAACTACACACTTTTTTTTTAAAAAAAAAAAGCTGGCATTACTGTGTGTGTGTATGTACACTGTATGGGGGAGCAGAGAGGTCAGAGGGTGACTCTGAGGGATCAGTTCTGTCCTTCTACCTTCATGTGAGTCCCAGGATTGAAATGATTCTGGGCTTTCACAGCAAACCCCGTTACCTGCCAAGTCTCACAACCTTAGGCCGTGTGTGTGTGTGTGTGTGTGTGTGTGTGTGTGTGTGCGTGTGTGCTAGATATATAACTCAAGTTGGCCTCTGCTTCATGCCATCTGAAAAAGAATAATTCAGAAACAGATCAGAGGCATAAATGAAAGATCAAAAGCTGTGAGTCTCTTAGAAGATATGGAGTGAAATCTGGACTTTGCATTTGGCAAGGGCTCCCAGATGCGATGCCAGAAGCACAGGCAGCAAAAGGAAAAGCAGGGAAAAATGACTGATTAAAACATCTGTGAATCAGAAACACTACCAAGAAAATGGAAGGCTGTGCAATGGAGAGACTTAGGCTGAGGCGATGGCTCAGTTAGGGAAGTGTCCGCCATGTAGGCACCAGGACCTGAGCTTGGATACCCAGAATCTGTGCGAAAGCCAGGTGCATGGTACACCTGCCATTCCAGAGCTGGGAAGGCGGAGACGGGCAGATCCCCGGAGCTCGATGCCCAGTCATTCTAGCCAAATCAGGGAGCTCCACATTCAGTGAGAGGCTCTGTTGCAAATAATAAGATGATGGAGGGGCCAGCAATGCCATTCAGAAGGCAAAGGTGCTCACTGCACAAGCTTAATGACCCAAGTTCGATCCCCAGAACCCACACAAAGGTAGAAAGAAAGAATTGACTCCATGCGATTGTCTTCTGGCCTTCACACATACTCTCTGGCACATGTACATCATACCCTATCATACACACACTCTCATAATAATGGTAAATAAAAAGCAAAAAGTCTTCAAAATAATAAAAATAAAGTGGTAAGAGGTTGACGAAGATGTCCAGAGTTAACCTCTGACCTTCATACAGATGCACACATGTGATCACGGGCATGTACGCACACATACATGTACAGAATTTTATAACTCGATGACAAATGAACTCCATTTTAAAAAGAGCAAGATTTGCAAGATGGCTCAGCAGGTAATGGCCCTTGCTGCCAATGTTGACAGAGTGAATTATATTCCTGGGACACCCATGTGGAAGGAGAGAACTGACCACCACAAATAGTCCCCTTACCTCCATACATGCACCATGTCACAGTACATGCCCACACATACACAGATAAATAAATTAACTAAATGAACAAAGGTATTGGCCAGGCTGAGATTAGAGGATCCCAAGGTTGAGGCTAGTCTAAGCTATCTAGGACGACCCTATCTCAAAACAAGTTTGGAAGGAAAAAACTGGTCAAATGACTTCCCAGACTCACTAGCACAGCACAGTAAAGGCAATGCACTGAAAATAACAGATCTTTGCAAGAGTTTGGAGGATGGGAAATCCTCACACACTGTGGCCAGCAGGAGTGACCCCATGTGGCTTCATTTCTCTGAATTCAAACACTCTCTTCTGCAGGAAGGAAGTAGGCGTCTTGGATTCAAGGCTTGTGTGTGGTGCTATTTGTCTGTAATCTAACAAATAAAGTTTGCCTGAAGATCAGAATGGAGCAAACCCTTAGTTATTCATAAAGGTCAGGCAGTGGTGGTGCACACCTTTAATCCCAGCATTTGGAAAGAGGCAGATGGATCTCTCTGAGTTCAAGGCTACCCTGGGCTATACTAGATCGATTCAATCTAAAAGAGAAATGGAGCCAGGCTGTGGTGGCTCACACCTTTAATTCCAACACTTGGGAATCATACACCTTTAATCCCAGCACTAGAGAGACAGAGACAGGAAGGGATACGACTGGGTGGAAAAAGGAATAAAAGGCAGAGGAGACAGGAGCTCAGGGCATTCAGTCTGAGGATTCGTGGGGACAGGGTCTTGCCCCCTTTGGTCTGAGGATTCAGGAGAGGTAAAAAGTCTCTCTAGCGGCTGACTGTTTTACTTCTCTAATCTTTCAGCATTTAACCCGATATCTGACTCTGGGTTTTTATTCTTAAAACCAATTAGAATTCTCCCAATACTGGTGAAGTCGCCTGGGCCCACTCTGAAGCTATGCACACAGTAGCAGGTGCTGGAAGGGAAGACTCTTTGTTGGAGTTACCTGTGCGTAAGCTCTAGGGAGGTGGCTCTCCCCTGTGTGTCACCCATGTTGGGGTGGGCTTTTGATGGTGTGGCTGCCTTTAAGTCACTAAGCTACTTTAACCCCAATAAGCTCATTGGCTCATCAAGTTTTTTTCATTTTGTCCTGTTTTGTTTTGAGATAAGGTCGTCAGTCTGACTTTGAATATATATAGCAACGTCCCCTGCCTCCCCCCACCCCTTACCCCCAACCCCTCATCCCCCGCCTTGGTCTCATGGGATGACAGGCATGTGCCACCATGCCCAACTTAATTCATTTTCTTCCTTCCTTCCTTCCTTTGTTAATATTGAGTTAAGGTCTTGCTGCATAGTCCAGGCTGGCCTGGAATTCACCATCCCCCTGTCTCAGCACTCTGGATATTGGGATTACAGATGTGTGCCACCAGGATTGGTGGATGAAATAATCTACATAAAAACACAGAGTGCTCTCTGCCTACCACAGATAAGAGTTTGATTCTTTTGTGTTTTCAGTAACAAAGCATAATATTTTAAATTATTACCCAGTGGTTCTTCCTACCCTTGTCTTTTCCTCTCTCCCTCAGCCAAGCAGTCCCCACTTATTCCTGGAATGCATCTCTAGTGTAGCTCCCAGGGACAGGTCATTCCATGATACACTCAAGAGGAGCTGGAAGGCTGCCAAGTGTATGTCACCCCACAGGTCCCACCGTGGACCTCGGACTGCCCTGGGGTGACACTGTCACCTGGCACCCGAGTACTACAGCAGGCTCTGGGGTCCCTCCTGTCTAGCAGGCGAGGCTGGCCTGATTGGTTCTGATGTGGGAGGCTACTCTCGGAGTCCTTGTGGCAGACCCGGAGTCAAGACGCCTGAGTTCTGAGCCCTAATCCTAAGGAAGGAAGTGTAATAAGCAGAGACTGAGCGACTAACTAATGCTTCTCTGATAGTTTCAGTGGGTGGGTGGGGAGGAAGTGGAAGGGAGGAGAGCCAGAAGGAAGGGAGGAGTGCTTCCCACCTCAGCCTGCCTCATGGGGAGTTGAGAGAGAGGTAAGTGGGACCCCATGCCAGGCAGTTTGCACAGAGCAGCAAGTGTCCTGATGGGAAGAGGAAGGCAGCCCACAGAGTGCTCTGCTAGGGAATAACCCGCAGACCCCGTGTCCTCCCACAGAGCTGTATCCCTGCTGCTGAAGGGCGGGCTCTCAGCAGGTACCCGGGGAGCTGAAGCCCAGTGACAGGTGGCTCCAGCAAACACAGGAGCCCATTACCAGGGAGAACAAAAATCGCAGCCAAAACTGCCTGTCGTGGGTAGGAGGCTTGGTTCTTTGAAATGCTGCAGACCCACCTGCCACCCTTACAGCGCTCTTCTCTCAAGCCTGATCTGTAATTATAGCCGATTCCTGCTGTGACC